TAATTATTCCTATAGATCTTTCAATAAGGTTTAAAAAACAGATGCTTGATAAAACATGATGAGAATTAAAAGAAAGGCCTGGTTTAAGAGAAAATATTCAATGCTTGATTACATGAAAATCAGAGTGCATGCCACAAATGAGACATTTGGGTCTGTGGCTACAGGACACTTTTTAAAGGCTGTCAAGGCCACTTGGGTCTCAAGCCAGGCACTTAGTCTCCTTTTGCTTCATCTCAGGCTGCCAAAGCTGGAGATAACTGGCTCCACTGTTGTTTTGTGACCTCAAAACAGTTTGACAATCCTCTTAGTATTTTAGTACTTCCCTTTTTCATATTTGACATGTCTGACCTAGACCTTTCCCATTCTCTTCAACTGACTTCCTCATTTCTGCTCCTCTTGTTCTTTTTGTTCAAGACAAAGATGTGTCTTCAAAGAATCATGGAAAGATACTTGGGGTAAAATTCTACAATATAAAACTACTGCCTTGATAGCTAAAGCTTTCTCTGTTCCAGCCTTCAGTTTATCAAATATTCCCAGCATTCATTTCTTTATCAAATATTAAGTAACACAGCATACTTATTATCCACAAATTATTATGCTACTCCAAATATTTAATTTCACTTTCTAGCCTGATGTCAGAATATCAATTTATTTTACATTTATTAATCTCATTTGATTCAGAAGATAACTGGGTTATTAAAATGACATTATTTAGCCCCCACCTTTCTATTTATGAAGAAATTAAAATCTGAAGAAGATGCTTAAGGCTAAATAAGAGGTCAGAGACAAAAGCCCAAGCTAAAACACAAGTTCCATTGCCATAATACTTTGTTAAGGAAATCGGCTGCATGGAGCAATTGTGTCTCTGCACTGCATCAGAACTCTGTGCTCCTAAAATGATAATCAAACTGAAGAGTAATGGAATGACAGAGCAAGCTGTTCACCCATTCTTTTGGCAATGGGGAAACAAAAATCCAATCAGAATAAAAAAAATGTTAATGCCCAACCTACAACAACAATAACAACAACGAGGGCTTCCCCGGGGACTCAGACAGTAAAGAATCTGCCTGCACCGCAGAAGACCTGGGTTTGATCCCTGGGTTGGGAAGATCACAGCCTGATTGTCTCGAATCAAGGACCCACTGAGTACATATCCTCTAAGGTGAGATGACCTTGTTTTCACACACAGCTACTAAAAGTACATGTCACATATAGGTAATTCTCTACCTCTAAGAGATGAGGAAAACTATTCTCTGGCTGCAGACTTCTAAGTCTTGAGTGCTGCTATTTCCTAGATAAGAGAACAGAGATGTCAAGGCCATTTTTCTTTTCCAAATTTTATCATGAAAAATTTCAAACGTGCAGACAAGTTTAAAGAACAGCATGACAAACACCTGTATGAAAATGAAAGTGAAAGTTGCTCAGTCATGTCTGACTTTCTGTGACCCCATGGACAATACAGTCCATGGAATTCTCCAGACCAGAATACTAGACTGGGTAGCCTTTCCCTTCTTCAGGGGATCTTCCCAACCCAGGGATTGAACTCTAGTCTCCTGCATTGCAGGTGGATTCTTTACCAGCTGAACCACCAGGGAAGCCAAAACACCTGTATACCCACCATGAAATTAAACAAACATTAATACTCTTCATGCAGGTGGATTCTTTACCAACTGGAACACCAGGGAAGTCCAAACACCTGTATACCCGCCATGAAATTAAACTAACATTAATATTCTTCATACTACATTATCTTCAATATGATTTAACACTTAAAAATTTCACTAAGGAATCTTTACAAGAGGCATACTCAGATCCTCTGAATGACTTCAATGACTTCCCCTCTAGCCCCCTCACCCCCGCCAATCTTTGTACATCTCAATAGAAGAAACACTTAAATCCTTAAAGGATTTTGCGTTGAACATGCATGACATTTAGCCCAGAGGGTTTGTTCTACCCAGTTTCTTCATCACTGCCTTGATATTTAAAGCCTTCCTTGTACCAGTTTTTTACATCCAGGTCTTCATGGTTGCTTTTCAGCTCTCCTTATTCCAACTGATGAATCTTGCCTTTATCGATTTCTTTGCAATGATCTTTTCTGTGCCCCGATATTCCACATACCAAAGAGCATCCCTTAGTAAACTGGGATTGGTGTGAAGCTCAGAACCTAAAAGTGAACCTTCCACAGATGACTCAGGACTATAGTTCTTTAGGGGCTTATTCTGTCAATCAGAACAAAGTCTGTATCTGTGGATCAATGCAAGCTATTTCCATCTCACTATTCTTTACCTTCCTTTTTCCCCCCTTTGCATGCTCTTCTACTATTCTTTACTTCTACTTGCAAGTTCCTAAGGAGTAGGACAGAATAATAATGAAGAGCATCATTGTATTCAAACAATTATGCTTTCCTGGGCAGGAGCTGTGTAACTTGGTATGTAAGTTCCAGAGTTTATTCATGTAAGAAGGAAAAACCAACCAACCAACCAACCAACAGTGCCCACTTTGTAGGAATTAAAGTTAATATTAAATGAGATTATATAAGGAATGTTCTGGCACAGGGCCAAGTACAGATTAAATCCTTTAATGAGTACTAACTACTAAATTAATACTATTACTAGTCTAAAGGCTGTTGGAAGTCAGCCCCTACTGAACATAGACACAAGTTAAATTTTTTAGCAAACTGTAAGCAACAGAGAATGACTGAGGTTAGGGGGTAGGTAAGTAGCAGGAGGGATTAAGCAGATCTGAATCAACCCAGCAGTAGTGATTTTAATTGACTTCCTTTTACTTATTTATTGAAAAAATAAAACTTCTGCTGTTAAAAAGTGATATCCAGCCTGCATTAAATTTCAGCCATGAAATAAACTGTAATAGAACAGAGAAAAGAGATATATACAAATTTCCTGAAAAACTTCTTACCAATTTCATATTCAGAACTAACTATACCACTGACAGAACAATCACAATCCATGAGGCTTTTTCAAGTAGAAACGTTAATTTTATGCACATCAGATGTGTTCAGGAACTTGCATGTGCTGTTGATTTATAGTGATGATTTACAGCAATGGTGTCCAGTTGGTCTTGATAAGAATGAACAGCCACCAGCTTTTTTGTCTGATTATTGGCTTAATGCCTTAAAGAAGCCATATTTATCACATATACTGGCCCCCTCTTTTCCCTCTCAACTGTACAGACATTCTGATTGCTGATTTTTCCCACCCATTCAACTTTGAATATGTGCACTCAGAATTCACTGACAGTCTTCACTTAGTTTATTTACACTGTAGGTGCTGGGTATAACAGAGAACACAACTGGTTCTCTGTTCTAAATGTGGGTATCATCAGGAAAAACAAAGAGGGAAGATTATTTCTACATGATTGCTGTGATGATCTGCTGGGCAAATGCATCTAGCACTGGGTCAGAAGCTTAGCCAAAACTTGCCACTCCCTGCTGAATTAGTAACATTTCTGTGCCTCTCTCTGCCTTCTTCAGGATTCTGACTTCTCTCTGTGTGTAACTCTTAAAACATGTGAACTACAACCTCCACTGTCCATGTGGTCACCATCTTATCAAGGTCTTTGTGATGCTTATGTTTTGTAATGGTTCCACAATATATCTGCTACGACAATTTCCATTAGTCCGTTCAAATGCCACCACTTTGGTGGAGTCTGCAGACACTGCCAGTTAACTTGTTTTATTTTTCCACTGTTTCCCTTTTTCCATAAGGCTTGTATGTGAGCAGTGCCTGTATCCAAGGCATCTCTTTACTTTCAATGGCTGATGGAGTACAAACACGCTCTCTCTGCTTCACTCCCTCCCTCTTGATAAACAAATGCTATTCTCTCCACAAATAGGATAAACAAAGAAGCTGGCTTATAAGGATCTAAGACAATGAACCAATCAGGATGCTGAATACAGCAGATAATGAAAATGAGATGTAACAGACAGGAACAATGCCAGAGTGAGGGGCATCCTAGGCTAACCGTTATGAGCTCTGGCTCTGAACTTCGAACAGGACTGGGCTCCCATTTTCACTGTTTACTTCTCTGTGATCTTAGACAAGCTATACCAGCCTTCATTTGAAATAAAGACTGTAACAGTTTTAACTTACGAGGTTGTTGCAAGTCATCATAACTGTAATAACACAGGGAGTGTACTAACTAACGTCTGACCCTTAACAAGTGTGTTCAATAAATGAATAACAATATTGTTATTGTTATCATCATCATTACGATAAAGTCATCAAGTGTTCATGTAAAACAGAATTTATCAGACACATTGAACATTACAAAATATCATTTTTTCCCCAATAATGCAGAGAAATTCTTTATTCTGAGATGCTTTCAGAGTAAGACAGATATCTTTTTTCTTCATCATTTTTCCAGGGAACCATCTAATAACAAAATAAACTTTTTAAAGAAGAAACTCATATTTCACAACTCATCCTCCAAAGAGAGCCGAGCATCGCAATCCTTTTCTGCTATAAAGGTACATTTAATAGTGTCGTCACTATTAATAAACATGAGATGATGGATTTATTTATTTGCAAGTCTGATTACTCCTTGGAGGTGAGAGGATACAGAAAGCCCTCCTGTCCTCGGACGGCCAGACTCAGCTCACAGAGCTCGGGAACAAATCAGGAAACAGAGCATCTGCCACATTCAAACAAGTATTGGGCATTCAGAACTTTTCTCCACTTTAAAGAAACCCCATGTGTAAGCTATTTTAATATTGCTTATCCCTACCTCTTAAAGAAAGAAGCTTTAGGATCAGCAGCTGATATTGGAAGATAATTCAGAAAAAAACTTAGGCTTAGCTGGGGATAAGTCCCTTTGTAAACATGCTCCCCTAAGCTCTCAGATGTCTATTGAATAGGAGGTTTAACTGCTTATCAGCAGAATTAAAGGAGGACTCAGGAAAAATAGCACAATATTCCCCTCCAATAAAGAGCAGTAAGTATTGTGCTCAGGGAAAGTTTGATTTTGAAACAGTCACTACAGACCTGAGGCCATAAAGGACTGTCCCATCTGGATGCAGGCGGATCATACGGTTCTTGACGGTCACTCCGTGCACAAACGACTTCTTATCGTTCAGGAAGTAGGTATCAGGCACCCAGAGTTGGTCAGCCACTCTATTGTCCAGAGTCAAGTTTAAAGGTATTACATTATAGGACAGCCTCTTATCTCTCCAAGCTTGCTGAAAGTACATTGTCAAGGTATAATCCTGTGAAATTGAGGAGATAAAAAAAAAAATGGTTATTTTGTACCTAAATGGAATTGGGAGATAAGCAAACAGTTGAGTATTCACAAGAAAATCTATCCAACCAGATACTATAAACATAAACTAGTCACAAATTCAGTTCAGTTCAGTTGCTCAGTCGTGTCTGACTTTGCCACCCCATGGACTGCAGCATGCCACGCTTCCCTGTCCATCATCAACTCGCGGAGCTTGCTCAAACTCATGTCAAATTCACATATTGGCAAATATTAATTCACTAAATCCATTCCAACCCAGCCCATGCTATGTGCTGGGCACCACAGTTAAGTACAAAAGTGAAGACAGCATATCCTTTTGAAATTTGTTATATATTACTCAGGAAGAGGGCTTCCCTTGTGGCTCAGCTGGTAAAGGATTTGCCTGCAATGTGGGGGACCTGGGTTCGATCCCTGGGTTGGGAAGATCCCCCGGAGAAAGAAAAGGCTACCCTTTCCAGTATTCTGGCCTGGAGAATTCTATACAGTCCATGGGGTTGCAAAGAGTCAGACATGACTGAGTGACTTTCACTTACTTAGGAAGAAAGATGGTAAGGAATAATTACTTAGTAAGTAATTTGTCTTTCCCAAAGAGGGTACTCAGGATTGCTTTTGGTGGGAAATAACTACAATTGCAAAAAATGGTCAATTGATTATAGTAGTAATTATAAGAGTTTATATGGGAATCTGTATCTGTCTAATCAAGGTGAGCTTCCTACAGGAGGTGTCATTTATATTGAGACTCATATATAGCTTCCTACCTCTCTAAACAATATAAGTTCAGTTAGTATTTCATTAGAATTTTAGAAATTCTGGATCATCAGACAAGTCTCCTTACTTTGGAGAAACAATGGTTGTTATACATTGAGCACTGGTCTTAGAGTCTCAGGTTCCAGTATTTCCAATTTCTAGGACGTAAATTTACATAACTTCTTTTTACTTCAGTTCCCTTAACTATAAATGGGGCTTTTAATACATCCTTGATCTATCAGAAGATTATTATGACAATTAAATGTGTAACTCAAATGTAATCTGGGAACTACAGAAAGCTATATATTATGAATAAAGCACTTACATACATCTTGTGACATGTTTTCTCCCTTAGAGGCCCATGGCTACAATGTAATTGCTCTCTCACCCTCATTTGAATGACTAAATGAAGGGCTAAGTATTCATTTGAAAAGGATAATTACCATTCTATTTTAAAATCAGTTCACAATGCCCTACTTGAGGGCTTAAAAAAACAAAACTAGAATCAAGTATTAATCATCTCTGCAACCTCAAAGCCAGCACAGTCCTAGGGCACAAATAATGAATGAATGAATGTTCAATAAATTAAGTCTATTGGATTTCTGCACATACCTGATTACTCTTGTGGATAAAATACACACTTTAGTCTCTGTGAAGTCCCTGAGATTCTCCAACCCTTGCTGAGATTTCTACATGTTAATATGGCTATGGAATTTTAAAATGTGACTTGCAAGTTATTACCTGATAAAAGCATTAAACAGTTTCATAGGAAAAGTATAATACTCTGGCAAAAAATTATATATTTTTCCTGGTTTCACAAACATACCAATTTTTATCTCATTTAGGAGTCAGTGTGGAGCTGACTTCTGAATGAGAAGTACAGAATCAAATTAATATTTTAACAGAAGAATATTAATATCATAAAGGGAGTTGGGCAAGACTGAATGACTAACATCCCTACACAAAAGATATGTCACCAACTCAATGGACATGAATTTGGGCAAACTCTGGGAGATAGCAAGGGACACAGAAGCTACAGTCCATGGGGTTGCAAAGAGTTGTACATGACTTAGTGACTGAACAACAAAAGTATATTAAATAACTGTAGGTGAAATTTTCTTGAGTGTGTTACTTTAGTCAATGCTTTGAACTGTTTTATCTCACTCTAATTTTTAATAAAGAATTAGTCTGAGGATCTCTAGCATAGCATCTTGATTTATAATAAAAGCAAAGTTGAAGATATGAATTATATAACTAGAGAACAGAAAATAGATCAAACCCATTTTTATATGTCTCTGTGTAACAAATGGCCTAAAAACTTGGCCATAAATAAAACAAACAATTTATACTGTGTTCAAGAGAACACAATTAGTGATTTCTAATTCTCAGAGATAAAATGGAAAATTTGATTATTAGCTCTACTAGAAGATAAAGCTACATAAGCCCTCTAAAGATTTAGGGGAGATAACACAGTTTGGAAGGTGCTGGGGTTTATCAGTCAGCTGAGATCTGTTAGGACACAGGAAATTGTATTTTCTTTGGGGCTAAATAAATGGTGATATTGTGAGATCCTGAGTCATATGCTCACTCCTGTTATTTGTCAGCAAGGCAGTGCCTGCTAAGAAATGCTCCCAGATAGACGCCAGTGATTCTGCTAACTGTCACATAAATTTTCATTTCTTTTATTTTTAAATGACACATCAAGACACTGTCAAGAAAAGAAGTTCCTGAATCAAAATAAATGCTATTGGACATAGAAGGAAAGAAAGGTTCTATGTTCTACCCTTTCTCTCCCAGGTCCTCATGCCCCCAGGATGAATGTTTTGAGCTTTTATATAGAAAACATATTATTTACACCCATCCAGCAAGTCTACTTTCAGGAAGCTGTCTCAGAGTTGGTTTATTCAAAATGAAAAAAAAAAAGTAAACCACTTCTGGGTACTCTACAGTCCATGGCATCACCATGCAAGAAGGACTTAGATAATCATAATCAAAACTAAAACCAATGAACTTTCAACGCCAAACAAAATAGAGTATGCCTACTACAGGCTCTCTTTCCCACTAATCACAACTAGCCATGCTGGAAAGAACTAAAAAGCCACTACCAAGGACTGTTGAAAGTAAAATCTAGTAGGCAGACTGGCAAATAATCAAATGTGAAGAAGACCTATTACAATGGTGAGTTTCTTATTTTTTTGTTTTTTCTTCCTTTTATCATCTTAAAGTAATACATGCTCACACAAACACAGCCAAAGTATAAATAAATGGAGAGATATACCAAGTTCCTGGATTTGAAGAAATGAGCATTGTTAAGATGTCAATTCTTCTCAAATTGCTCTATAGGTAAAATTTAATCTTAATTAATATCTGAGTAGGATTTTTGTAGATATGCTGATTCTAAAATTTATATGGCAAGCAAAGGATTGAGAATAAACAAAACAATTTCAAAGGAAAAGAATAAAATTGGAGGATCCACACTCTGATTTCCAGACTTACTAGACTTATTAAGACAGTATGACAGTGTAGTAATGATAGAAACACAGATCAATAAAATAGTAGAATCTACAAATAAACCCACATAAATATACTCAAAGATTTTTCTGATGAAGGAAAAAGGGAAGAAAATTGAAAAAACAAAAAAATTTCAACAAAAAAAGGGAAACAAACGGAACAAGCAAAAGGAAAAAAAAAAATAAAAAAAAAAAAAAAAAAAGAAAAAAAGAAACAAAAAAAAAGGCCAAAAACCCCCCTCCGAAGAAGAAAACCAAAAAATCAACGTCACGTATGTGAAGTTTGTAAATGTGACATTCCCACATCCCAAAGGTAGGTGGTCTCCAAACTTTAAAACTGTCTAAGTAATTATGCTAAACTAGGCTCTCAAAATAACACAAAAGCACAACTGACCATTTTAACTTCTGATGATGATTCAGAGCAACTAAAACTGTAATAGCAGGTGGGAATACAGTCAACCACCTGGAAAACAACTGGATAATTTCTTTTAACAGACTTATTAAGACAGTATGACAGTGTAGTAATGATAGAAACACAGATCAATAAAATAGTAGAATCTACAAATAAACCCACATAAATATACTCAAAGATTTTTCTGATGAAGGAAAATGGTAGTAGATTTGAGAAAGCATAAAATTTTCAGCAAATAATGTGAATCAACTGGAGCATGCAAATGTAAATAAATAATTAAATAAACAAATAAATAAGGAAACAAGTAAGCAAGATAGATGTCTAAGATCTCGCTTCTGAGTATGAGACCCACAAATTCACTGTCGCGTATGTGAAGTTTGTAAATGTGACATTCCCACATCCCAAAGGTAGGTGGTCTCCAAACTTTAAAACTGTCTAAGTAATTATGCTAAACTAGGCTCTCAAAATAACACAAAAGCACAACTGACCGTTTTAACTTCTGATGATGATTCAGAGCAACTAAAACTGTAATAGCAGGTGGGAATACAGTCAACCACCTGGAAAACAACTGGATAATTTCTTTTAACGTTAATAGACATTTGACATACAAGGCAGCAAACCCACTCCTGGGCATGTATCAAAAGCAGCTCCTGATACATGCAACATCATCACTGCTTTTCAGAGAAAGTTAAATCAAAGAGGCAAGATTCAAAAAAATACATGATATATGATTCCATTTATATGATATTTTGGAAAAACTTAGGGACCAAGAACAGATGAGAGCTTATCTGGGATTCGAGATGGAGGAGAGCATGACCACAGAGGAACAGAATGAAGGAATGATTTTGGGTCGTAGAATTGTTCTGCATCTTAACTGCGGTGGTGGTTACACAACTTTAGGCATTAGTTAATTCATAGAATGATACACCAAAATGAGTGCATCTTCTGTATGTAAATTTTAAAAATAAAATTTAAAACTGCTTGAGTAAAAACAAACAAACAAGGCCATGATCTCTAAGATAAGACACGCTCAGGTTCTTACTCAGGTATTTTCATGTCCCTCTGTTGGAACCCTGGTTGAGGTGAAGGAGTCTCTATTTCCAACTCGAAAGAAGAAACTAAAGCTAATTAACTTAGAGATTGGGGTAAAAAAGAACTGCTCCGACATCTGGAGGCAAGAAACCATGCTACAAAATAAGTCACCTAATGCAAACCAGGGACATGATACCTCATCAGCCTTCCACTAAGTGGTTACAGATTCAGTTCATGTGTAAAATGAGACAACTGAACTAGGCAGTT